CCCTTTACGCAGCTCCTGGGGACACAGGGCCAGTTTCCACACAGCCCTCACATTGACTTGGGTCCACCATGTCTTTGTGTCCCAGACTCTCCGCAGAACTTGACCATAAACGTCTTGCAAGGAAATGTCACAGGTAGGAAGGAGCCCGTCATGGGCTGTAGGGAGCAGGGCCTCCTCCAGCTCAGGGCACGGCTGGGTCGTGCCTCACCCTGGGCTCACCCCGGTGACCGGACACCCCCTTGCGGGTGAACCCAGTGGCTCCCCATCCTCAGCACCCCCGGCCCTGTGAGCAGCTGTCCCCATCGGCCCTCCCTCCCTGAGGGTTCTCCGCTCCTCCCTGGGCTGCACCAGGAGCTCGGGGCGCCGTCCACACGGCAAGGGCTGGGAGAAGCACAGGGAAGGAGGTGGGTCTTGGAAGGAAGGGGCTGGGACCTGGACAGGTGTGTCTGGGGAACAAGGTCCTTGTTCTGTGGGGCGGTGGCCAGGGTCAGGTGAGTGAGGCACTCGTCTTGGGCACAGAATTTCAGGAGAAGCCAAAGAAACTCAGCGGCCAAGAGAAACAGTATCACACTGCAGTATTTCCTTGAAATAAGACGGAATGCAAAATGAATTCCATGACGAAAAACATGCCAACATTTTAAATAAACGCAAGCTGCAGTTCAGCTCTGGTCTGCCTCGCTCACCTCGCCCTACTCCCCGCCCCGCCTCTGTCCCCGTGTTTGGCATCTGGCAAAGCGGCCAGAAAAACGGAAGTCTGGAGTCCTACAAGGCATAGAGGAGGAAGAGGCCCGAGTTCTCAGAGCGGGGTCACCAATAACCTCCTTCGTCAGCAGGAGACGCGGGGGCGCTATCAGGAGTGATGCTGGGGGCCGTCGGGGGCGCAGGCGTCACCGCCCTGCTCTTCCTGTCTTTCTGCGTCCTCGTCATCATGTGAGCACTGACCCTGGAGAGGGAGGGACAGCCCTCGGGGAGGGAGCACAGGTGGCCGCGGGATCCCTGACCCCAGAGCCGAGGGACCTGGGTGGGTCCGGGCCCGAAGCAAGAGCAGGAACATGGTCCCCGTCACCTGGGCGAGTCTGTCACAATCCTCTGGACTGCTGTCCAGGAGCGGGAGGAGCTGCGTCCTCAACGCCAGGGCATCCACAGCGGGATCCCTCCCCACCCCCAGCCAGCCCCTTAAGGAGGAACGGAGTGGGGGAGGGACGTCTGTCTGCCCATCACGCCGAGGACGGGCCAGACTGGAAACCGCCCTGTCTCTGCACTCAGAGTGAAATCTTGGAAGAAGAAGGCGGCGAGGACAGCAGTAGGCACGGGGGACACGGACACGGCCGGCGCAGACGCCATCATGAGGTCCATCTCTCAGGTGAGTGACCTGGCCATCTCACCACCCGGCGGTCCACCTGGACACCTCCCCCAGGAGGACCTCCTGGATTGCTCCGCCCCGCATGGCCAGTGTTGCTCTCCTCATCTCTCCCCACGCAGCCCCGATTCCCCGTCTCGCCTCTCCCCTTCCTTCTTACGGGCCAGGCAGGGAGGAGTTGCCTTGTGTCTGCCCTTCCTGTCTTCTCCTACCGCCAAAAAGTCGCCACCTCTGGCCTATTTTTCCTCCTGAGAACTAGCACGGGTCACGCGTTCTCCATCTTGAGCCCTATCACTGCCGAAGCTTCAGGATCGCTTCCCGGACCCGGTCATCTCCCCGCCTCTCACCTCCGTGGCCCGACACTGAGTGATTATCTACAAGCCATCTTGTCCAGCTCCTCTGCTCGGAAGATCCGTTCGCCCCATTGTCTAGAGCAGAGACCAGCAACCTCTTTCTATGAAAGGCCAGTTAGTAAAGGTTTTTGGCCTTGTGGCCCGCACAGTCCCCGTTGCAGTCACTCAGCTCGGCTGTTGCAGGGTAAAGCAGCAACAGACCATATACAGGTAATGGAGTATGACTGTGTTCCAATAAAACTTTATTTACAAAACAGGCAGTGGGCCGGATTGGACCCATAAGCTATAGTTTGCCCACCCCTGACCTAGAGAATAAAGTCCCCAGATCCTCAGCCTGCAGCTCTGCGTATTCTGACCTCTCCGGTGCCCACCTCTTCAGAGAGGCCAGGATTAGGGCAAGGTGAGGGAGGCATCTGCCTCAGAAGTGACACTTGAGGGGGTGCCAAAAATCTCAGTAAGGGAGACAATGTTAATTGAATGCACCGTTTTTCTTTAAAATCAAAATGAATGGGGGGGAAAAGCCACGATGTGCAAAATGTCAAAAATCTTAAACCATGGCGGGATCGGTAGACTGAAGTTAGCGAAAAAAAATTATTTCGGGTCGTCACTTAGTCAAGAGAGACTGTCAAACAGGGCGGCACTCTCAGCTGAACGTGAGAGCCGCAGGGAAGTTGATTTTGAAAATACTCTTTCTGCGTTTGCTTCCAGGGAAGCCAAGGAAACTAATTTACAATGCATTCTGGTTTGGGTATACATAAAATCTTCAAACTTAGCATAGCGTTGGAACATACGCTTTTTTGGGTTTTCCATGATATTTCGATTATTTTAAAGTTCTGGAAAAAGCCACCCATTAAAACTGTGTAAAAACTTTTCTATAGAGGCACACAATTTTCCCTCTGCCTCCAGCTCCAGTTGGTTCAGAAGGGTGCTCTCGCTGATCTTGGCTGGATCGAAACGTTTGATAGTTTGCTCTCCGTGAAGTTCTTCCGCATTTGCTTTGAATTCTGAAGTCTTGCCTTCAGATGTCATTTCTCGCGACTGTGAGCTTTTCAGCACACGCTTTCTAACTGGAACCGGGTTATTTTTGCCTCCGGGTCTTTGCACAGCCTGTTCCTCCTTCTCAAATGTCTTTCTCTCTCTTTTCCTCTTATTCTCTTCCATCCAGAACGTCATGCCCTGATGTGAGTGTCACCGTGTTTTCAAATTTATTTATTGTATTGGACGCATAAGGGGAAGCCTCTGAACCGTTTTGAGCAGCATATTAACATTCATCCTTTCATTCGTTAATGTGTCCAGGAAGTAGCACCTACCCAGTGACAAGCGTTGTGGGTGCCAGAGACCTCCATCTATGAAAAAAAAAAACAACACGTTTTTTAATCTTGAGTGCAGTGAGGTTTTATTCTAGGCAGAGGGACAGACCCAAACTGATCAAACCGCCAAACAACGAATCCGTGAAGAGAATGTGAGCGACAGACACAAACTTTGGGGGAA